GTTTGTCAGTAATAGTTGTCTTCTTAAGCTCGGAAGCCTTCCTCTTCTTCGGCAACTCGACAGAAGTTGCCTTTTGCTGAGTCAAAGCGGCCAGCCAGCTGGGGGGCTTATTCTGTTAGTTCTCCATGCTAGGAACTGCAAAACAAAAATAATAAAGCAAGTTATTAGATGCAAAGTAATGAGTATACATACAATGGCAAAAATGAGTCATACTTAGTTCAGCATCGAGCTCCTCCTGCGGTTTGAAAAGAAGAGATGCAACACTAGCATGCTTGTGCGATTGGAGATATGTACCAATGGCAATTACACTATCGACATCGGTAGGATTCAACTCGGTCTCTTTGAAGCGGTAGTTTGAAAGGGGAAGTTGGTAATGGTCAAATGACCAGTGCAAGAAAAATTTTCCCTCAACATCCTCGACACCACGGTTATCAAGAAACCAAACACTCTTACCGGGATGTGCAGAAATTTTAAAGAACTTGTCTTTAAAGTTCTTGAATGAATCGGTATAAACTCAGAAGAGTTTGCGACCAAGGATACCTCGGATGGTAATCCAACCTTTCCGTTCCGCCGGTTCACGGCCATTTCGAGGGGTAAGGACTTGAAAAAAGAAAAAGAAAACAGAAACAGATGCAGGAAGAGTAAGGTATGCACAAAAACGCTTAAAAGCCTTGATAAAACCCCAGCCGTTGGGGTGGAGTTGGGTTGGAGCTATTTGAAGATGATTGAGAAGGTCCATTTGGAACTCGGTCAAAGGAAATCGGACGCCAATTTGGGTCACGACATCCTGATAAAAGAAAAAGAAACAAGGTTCTTCTGAAGTTTCTCCAGAACAAACCGGTTCGTCTTCTCGTGGGGGGATTATATCATAATTCTCTAACTCCCCAACGGGGAGACCATACACATCACCTGAACTCATTTCGAAAGTGGTACTTAAAACCTCGTAAGTAACCCAAGGAAACTGGGATACTAAAGAGGCAGGAGGAAACTCGGGGAATGACTCAGTAGAACTCGACTCTTCTACAACCTCTGGGGGGAGATGCCATAAAAACCTAAAACAAAGAAAAGAACTTGATCAGAAGAAGAGAATGGGCATACATGAATCAAAAATGCTATCAGAAAAAGAATCATTAGAAGATGAGGAAGTCGGCACGTTGGAGATCATGATTGGGTCATCTGCCCCACCAAATGCGGAGGTAGATCCCGGAACATCTCCATGTTGGCAGCTAGCCAAAGTAGACTCGGCCAAAGAGTCACAGCCTTGCTCAATAAGTTTAGAACTCAAATAGACACAAGTGTAACAAGGTCCAGTTTGCTGGATAGGGGGAGATTGAGAACTACCCCGGTGGGCTGATGAAGAACCCGGATATGTATTAAGTAAACCACTGGGGGGCTTAGAACCGGTTTGGGGAAAAAGTCGAGGAATACGCCGGCTCACAGATAGATGACTCCTACCCCGGGTGGACGAACCTCTACCCCGACTGTGCCCTAATCCCTATCAGACAACCCGGATCTCCTCTGGGATCTACCACCGCAATAACCACGAAGCATGGCTTCACGTTCTTCTTCTTCAGTCCTTGAAATTCCTCACAACCAGAAACGAGCACCAGGGGGGATCTTTTTCAAAAAATCAGAATCTTCCTTTGACTTCCCCTCACAATGCAAAGCTGAAGAGGGAGGATTTTTCCCCCTCATCGGATCAAATGATGCACACTAAAATGGCAAAAGTGAAGCAATATGCAACACTTTGAATATGTTGGGGGTGGTAACAGCAAGGAGGAAAATCATCCAGCAAACTAATTGCCAGAATAAGGTTCGGAGAAAAACGAACTCGCAATAAAATGGCAGAAGTCTAAAATGCAGACAGCCAAATATAAGTAATGCGTAAAAAAGACACGGCAGGTGCGAAGGAAAGGGGTAAATACCTGAAGGAGAAGAAGGTGAAATCCCAGAATATGCAGAAAAGCACTTGCGGATGCTAACACTCAGAGGAATTAGGGCAAGGAACTTCTCCAAGACAAGCAAAGTAAAAAATGAAAGAAAAGAAGGATGCTTACTTATATAGGCGCAAGTGTAACTGTAGCAATTGTGGATGGCATGGGTCAGGGGTACTAGTGTCTTCTCACACATGGGTAGTAACCGCAGTAATCGTGGAGGGCAAGAGTCAGGGGCACCAGCGTCATTGCACTTAAAAAGCAATGATTAGACGTCTGAAACGACGCTGCTAATAAATGTGCACGAAACGCAAAAATAGCTGCAACACGCTAACACACGCGGCAGACAACACATCTCAAAATGAAATGAGTGCAACTAACAAGTTGGCACGTGAGATTAACATGTATTCAACTCTTAACCGGATTACACGAATGATGTTTGGGGGCGACTCGCCAGTTGGACCCCAACTACTCAACCACATTCGTTACCCGGTTGTATATGCAGAGTATATTGTCGGGTTCATGCATAACCCGACCATGCAACTAACTAGGGAAAATCATTCCCGAATCCAAAAGAAAGCGTGCGTAAGGTATGATGCTTGGGGGAAAACTCGCCAGTTGGATCCCAACTAATCAAGCACATCCCAGACTTGGTATGGGAACACGTGAAATGCTTCCCAGGTTCATGCTCAACCCGCCGAGATAAGGGACAATGAGGACCCCGGTTGAATAACACTCAGATCAAGAAGCACGCTGGCAGAGAGTTTACAAGAACTCAAATGCTCTCAGCCCAGTAAGAAGCTCGAAGTAAAGTAAGTAAAGCGCAACGAAATTCACCCCGGCAACCCGGATACCCAGGTAGCCTGGTTGAGGGGCAACTGTTATGGACCCGTATAAGGGGCCCGTTGAATGGTAGGCCCAATAATGAGCAATCCAAGATGCGAATCAGTTATAATTACAGATAGTATCCATCAAGGATACTAATCATAATACGACAGCATAACGAACAGGCTTGAGCCCCTATCCGAGGCACCAAAGGCCCATATCATACTACTCATAGGTAACCTCTATAAATACAAGGTAAACCCTAAAGGTACGTTACGCTCCCTCTCTTACTGTTATGTTGTCACTGTGCGCGCACACACACACACCCCATTTGCTAATGTCGTTATTAGTTATTGTGCACAGTGACCTACTTGACTCGAGGGTATCTCTTTCATAGATACCTTGGAGAGGACACTAGATCCAAGATAAACATACCAGTCCATTGGACTGGACATCTCTGTCGCTAAGACAGAACACCTATACATATATATATATATATATATATATATATATATATGAGAAAAATATTTTTCCGGCTACTTGAGATAAGTTTATCTCCGGCTACCCTAAAACTACGTCGTTTTGTTTATTTATTTCCTTATATTAATTGATTCACCTTTAAATGATTATGATTCCCTTTTTCTTTCTTTTCCTTTATCACTATTGATCTATCTTTATACGTTTATGGTTTAATAGCCGGAGATAAAGTTATTTCAAACAACTTAAGAAACGATAAGCCCATCTTTGTACGGTTAAGGTTTTGTTCTATGTTGCAGCTTGGTTCCTCAATTAGAGCCTAATATGATTTGCTGAATGAATGACAAAGGGAGACTAATATAATTTACATTAAGGAGCAAATTGGTTATAATATCTTATTACAGCTATGAATTTCATTGGCAAATCATATTTTTCGTTGAGTTATTTGATAGTTGTTTTGTTTGCCATTTAAGAAATAGTCACCTTGCGTAACACCACAATTACTGTACTGTGTAAAATTAATGTTGATAAATTTTGTGAAATTCTATGTCTCCAAATTTTAAAGCACTGCACTTCTATATTTGTCTTTTGTGTAAGTGTATGGATTCCAACGAAGAGAATATAAATAAAATTAATTCTTACTTATCAGACAACTAATTAAATAGATCCTATTTAGTATTTACACAATTGATTAATTAGGTCTTATTTGTGAATTAGAGAACACTGTACATGACAATATCAGAAGAAACTCCTGGGTTAAACTCATAGAAAACAAATTGTTTGGTTACAAGCCTTAGCATAACCTATCAATGATTGCATTTGCAGTGTACATGACTAAATTGTAACCTCATTAAGCCGAAATCCTATTGTGCTCTTAGCCTCTTACCCTGTCACGAAAATAGTCCGATTTTAAAAGCAATAACCACTAATTGATTAATCATGATTAAAGAAGAATTATTTAGTATTTCTTTTTTCGGAATCAATTCTTATTTTTATACGAATTCATACCTAAATTAATTTGAAATAAGGGTGGATCTCTTTCTATATTATATAAAGAAGAAAACTGAAATTTATCTATCCATTTGTCAATTTCTTTAGGTTATCAAAGACCATTGTAAAATGAGCTTTATCCTTTCCCGTTGCATTTAATCCCAAGGTTTAGAAATTCATCATATTAACAAATTGAGCTGCCTCACATTCAGGACACTTGCCATGTTAACAGCAAGCACCATGCATGCACCATATATATGCATAATTAACAAATCACCCAAACAAAAGTAACTCAGAACTTAAATTTAAAGACAAGAAGTTTTAAATTATAAAAAATCTTTCCATGGCTTTGTTAAGGTACCTCTACTGGTTATACTTGAAATTCTAAAAGTTATACTCTAAACTCTAAAACATGCTTCCAAATGGGAAAGAATTAAAAGCATTTTTCAAATCAAAGTCCGGAATTACTATACATAGGGGACTATGAATTTCATTTGTCTTGAGTTAGCAAATTATTGTCTCCGGCAAAAAAAAAAAGGAAGTACATATTCACCAAGAGTCATTCATACACTGCACATAAAATTGTACCGAAAAGAAAAATTTAAAATAAGAAAACAGAATCAAAACCTTCAATGGAAGCTCCATGTGTTTAATCATATACTTTATCAGCCAATCAACAAATTTTCCCTAAAAAAGATTTTGTATTCATCTTTAAAGAGCAAAGCACACATCCCTTTGAATAAGATGAGAAGATAAGACAAACAAAGACTGGGCTAAATGTGACTAGCAATAATATTTCCCTAGTAAAGACTAATGTTGCTCTACACCAAGCCCAATTTTTTAACCAATCCAAAGGCGTACATTCCTTGGGACAGCTAAGCAAAGAAAGTAAATGATACTTTTGCAATTCTTAATATGCTAGAGGGGAAATAAATATCCACTCTAAAACAATAGTCTTAGTTCACAGCCAGCTTCCCCATACCACTACTCAGCTCATTGTGAATATCAAGAGACAAGAAACACCATTCATTTGGAGATAGAAGGATTGAGAATGTACATAATATTCGATAGAATTTATAATCTTTTAGAGGAACATAGTTCCTATCCAAGAATCTGTTCCACCTCCAAGGGAATATTAGACATTGAATCCTGAATAGAAGAGGCGAGAAAGAAAAACCACTCAGATTAGTGCTAACCAATTAGTTATACTGTAAAGGATACTATAACTATAAAATTAAAATCTAAATTTCCTATAGAACTCATAGAAAACTGCAACAGTTAATTAGACTGATTAAGAGTACTTTCATGTGAACTAAATAACAGCTACACCACAAGGTTGTTTTAAATTCCATATATAACTATAAGATACTTGCAATATCATAATTCAAAATAAGATTCTTCAAGCCATCCAGGAAAATTAAACAAAAAAAAGTGAGTTTCACCTTGTTCTCTCTCTTTAGTAGGCCTATACTGATCATTTCATGGAGAAGCTTCTCTGCCTTTTCTGTCTCATTTTTATTTAAAAGAGCACGAATAATTGTTTCATAAGTTACAGCATCAGGCAGGCAACCATTGCCTTTCATTTTTGAAAGTAAAGCCGTTGCTTCATCAAACAAGCCATGTTTACCGAACCCATTGATCATAATATTATAAGTCCAAACATTTAGACGATAGCCATGGATCAAAAGATGCTGAAAAATATCTTCTGCAGTCTTTAGTCTTCCACCTTTGCACAAACCATTCAGAAGAATATTGTACACATACATATTTGGACGTATTCCTTTGTTAATAATTTGCTTAAATAATGCAATTGCCTCATCAAGGTGTTGGGCTTTGCATAGAGCATCTAACAAGATACAGTAAGTAATTAAATTAAGGGCTTGACCATTTTGATGCATCTCATCTAAAATATCTTGCACACATGTTATTCTCCCAGATTTGCACAAGCCATCAATAAGAGAATTGTATGATACAGTATCTGGAACTAAACTGTTGCGACGCATTTCTTTAAAGAAAGTTACGGCTTCATCTATCCTGTTATTTTTGCAATATCCATCAATCATAATGCTATAACTATTAACATCTGGTGTCAAATTGTCCATATCACGAAATAGCTTTGTTGCCTCACTCACTTTTTTGATTAAAAAGTATCCATCCATCAAAGCATTGTGGGTGACAACATCAGGCTTAGGACCTCTTTCCAACATCGTATCAAATATCTTTTGGGCTTCTATCATTCTTCCTTCTTTACATAACGCATCAATCAAAACGTTAAGTGTATATACATCTGGGTTGATGTTTTGTTGAACCATTTCATTCAGCAATCGAGTTGCTTCTTTCAATTGACCGGCACAGCAGAAACCATGAATTAGAGAATTGTACGTGACTACATTAGGAGAAATTCCCTGGGCAATTGCCTGAGAAAACAAAATGTTTGCCTCAGTTAAAAGCCCATCTTTGCATAACCCATCAATGATTGTATTGTACATGACTAGATCAGGCCTAACATGTAGCCGCTCCAGCTTTTGCAGCAACTCAATGGCAGCTCTTGCTTCTCCCATTTTACATAACCCATTGATCAATGTCCCATAACTAACCCCATTAAGCAGAAACCCTAATGCTCTTACCCTGTCATGAAATTCCAGAGCTTCCCTAGTCTTTCCATTTAGACAGAGTCCATTCATGAGCGTATTCAAAGTTATGGTATCCATTTCGTAACCCATCTTGATAATCTTACCCAAAACAGAAAAAGAAAAATCCATCCGACCCGAGTGGCAATAACAATTGATCAAGATGTTCAAACTAAAAATGCAAGGAGTGATACCTTTAGATTCCATCAGATCAAAAAGTGAAATAGCAGTAGGGTATGCTTTCATCTTAACAATAGATCCCAAAATCTTGTTAAATTCAATTACAGAGGGAGGATGACGCTTAGCGAGAGGACATGAAAGAGGAGATAGCATCATCAATGTTATGAGAATGAGAATGAGAATATAACCTGAAAGACACAGAAGCAGTGGAAGAGTGAGTGCATCTCAGAGAGAAGGGGAATATGGAAAGTGCATACCTCGTTGTTGTGTTCAACATAGTCACTCCGTGTGTTAATGTTAATGTTATCTTTTCACCGCCGGGTTCCGCTTCTCTCTGGGCTTCTTACCCGAAGTCACTCCGTAGAAGACGAACAAAAACGTCTTAAGTTGGCACATGAGAAGTCAATGTTTATTTTTATTTTTATTTTAAAAAGAAAAATAAAAATATGACCAAAATGATAATGTGTATAAATATTGGAGTTTGCATTCATCATTTAACATGACACAAAAAAGTTTCTTACACACATAATATTTTGTGGGGGCCGCACTTTTTGAAGCAAAAATAATAATTAAGGCACGCAAAACGAATCTCTATAACATTACACAATCACTTTTTCTACGAAAGAATGCGAAAAAAAAAATAGTATAATAAATCCACAATTTATCTATAAAAATGTATAAAAAAAATGGCTCTGAAAAGTAAAAGAGCAATATGTTTAATTTACCTATGTTTAATTTAACTGCACCACCTCTCAAATCTGCTTCCATATCCTTATCTTCAGTCCACCAAGAGTTGTTCCTAAATTGGTTCATTCATGAACCAATTGCAAGCAGAACAACACTGTTGAGCATAGCGAAATTGCTCAATCTAAATCAGCTCACAACCAACCTCCTTCACCACTCAAGCCCTCTATGCATGAGTCTAGATCCACTTCCTCACGGTAGAAGAAATTAGAAAATAAGGTCAAGAAGCTGAAAAAGGACTTGAAGAAAATAAAGAAATGAATGAATCCTGGCTTTCAAGAGCAAAAGAACTCTGTTCAAGACGTTTTGAATCAATTTCTCCAAATTTATAGGATGGATTAAAAACAATATGAGAATGACTTAGTACTTCACACTCCTATAAGATCTTATAAGCCTTATTCTAGACGTCATTAGATCCATCAAATTTTTATTTCTCATTCATCTTCTTCTAAGGATGTTCCACCTCAATAGCTATAGGTGATGGTTTACAAGTGAAAACATGATAATAGGGGGGAAAATAAGGTAATAAAACATTGCACGTGTTTAGTATAATCGCTATGTCCTTAGGCTGTGCTTCATCTTGAATGGGAGCGCTACACATGTTATCAGCCAATAAACAAATTTTCCCTTAAAAAGATTGCATTTTGCTTTCGTAGGAAAGAAAATGTTTCCTTGGAACAATACAAAAACTCAAGAAAATTAGGGCAATCATATTCTTGGAGTTGGAAAGAGCAATCAAAAGCCAAGACTTGAATGAATCTTGCTCATACATCACATTAGAAAAGACACAAACTAAATGTGACAAACCCTATAAGTATTGAGGAAAACCAGTCAAATCCCTAGAATGAAGACATGAATGCAAACAGAGAACATGTTTATTAATAATAGCCTTCAAACACATTCAAATTAACTTTTCTTCCAAGAGCTAAGCACAAATACTTTTGGACAACATGAGGAGATAACACATACAAAACAAAACCAGGTCTGCATGTAACTGGCAATACCATTTCCGTAGTGCATAGTGCATAATAATGTTGCTATACACCAAGCACAATTCTATAACCAATCCAAATTTGGGAGAGCTAAGGAAAGAAAGTGTTTGATATTTCTGAAATCCTTAATAAATTAGATTGGAATTAAAGATCGACTTTAAAACAATAATCTTAGTTCACAACCAGGTTTTACAGATATGTGCTCCTTTCATTAAGAATATCAAGAGACAAGAGATGCCATTCATAAGGAGATAGAAAGGATGATAATGTACATATTATTTGATACTATTTAGCCTTCAAGATTAGCATAGTTCTTTTCCAAGAATCTGTTCCACCTCCAACAAGGGAATAGTCGACGTCGAATCCTGAATAGAAGAGTAGAAAAAAAAAATCTATTCAGAGTAGAGCTAACCAAATAGAGATTAGTCATCACTGTTCCCTTGCACTCCGGATTAGTCCCATAGCCGGCTCAAAGAGTCGAAGCTCGTGGGGATACTGGAGGGAGCCAACTCGTCTCAAAGAGATAATTAGGGTTGGGTAACTCCAAAAAAAAAAAAGAGATATTATAAAGGATATACTACAACTATAAAAATAAAATCCAAACCTTCTATAGAACTCACAGTACATTTGAACATTTATTATTATTATTTAAAAAAAAAACATAAATTAATGGAAAATAAAAAATAAAAAATTAAGGAGTTAGATTTGATGGTGCTAATAAAGTATGCGTCTGTTACCACTATCATAGCAATAGGAAAACCATCAGAAGTATAGAGGGAAAAGAAAATGAACATGTTTGTTTTTCACTCGTGATAAAATGAGTTAAGAGTTTAGAGATAAGAGAACATTGAACGGTCATGTCAATCATGGCTTGATTTTATATATATTAAACCTGATAGAAATGTACATTAAATGATAAGAAGTCAGAAATCAATATTTAGGATTATATCCCGATATCTGAACTGAAACATTACATGACAAATAAAAAACAGAGAACACTGGAACAGTTAATTAAACTGATTGAGAGTAGTATCACGTGAACTAAGTAACATGTAAATTCAATATATAAATATAAGATAACTACAACTGTTCAAAACAAGGTTGTTCAAGCAATCCAGGAAAATTAAACACACAAAAAAAGTGAGAGTGAAAGGAACATAATAATCTTACCAAGTTCTCTTGCTTAAGTAGGCCTTTATTGATCATTTCACGAAGAAGCTTCTCTGTCTTTTCTTTCTCATTTTTATGTAAAAGAGCACGAATAATTGTTTCGTAAGTTACAGCATCAGGCAGGCAATCATTGACTTTCATTTTCGAAAATAAAGCTGTTGCTTCATCAATCAAGCCGTGTTTACATAATCCATTGATCATAATAGTATAAGTCCGAACATCTAGATTATAGCCATTGATCAAAAGATGATGAAAAAACTCTTCTGCAGTCTTTAGTCTTCCCCCTTTGCACAAACCATTCAGAAGAATATTGTATACGTACATATTTGGACGTATTCCTTTGTTAACAATTTGCTGAAATAATGCAATTGGCTCATCAAGATATTGGGCTTTGCATAGAGCATCCAACAAGATATTGTAAGTAATTAAATCAAAGGCTTGACCATTTTGATGCATCTCACCTACAATATCTGGCACACATGCTATTCTCCCTGATTTGCACAAGTCATCGATAAGAGAATTGTATGTTACACTATTTGGAACTAAATTTTTGTGACGCATTTCTTTAAAGAGAGTAACAGCATCGTCTACCCTTTTATTTTTGCAATACCCATCAATCATAATGCTATAAATCCAAACATTTGGTGTCAAACCGATTTTGTCCATATCATCAAATAACTTTCTTGCCTCATTCAGTTTTTTGATTAAAAAGTATCCATCCATCAAAGCAGTGCAAGTCACAACATCAGGCTTAGGACCTCTTTCCAAAATCACATCAAACATCTTTTGGGCTTCTATTATACTTCCTTCTTTACACAATGCATCAATCAAAAGTTAAGGGTATATAGGTCTGGGTTGATGTTTTGTTGAACCATTTCATTCAACAATCGAGCTGCTTCTTTCAATTGACCGACACAGCACAAACCATGAATTAGGGAATTGTATGTGACTACATGAGGAGAAATTCCCTGGGCAATGGCCTTAGAAAAAAAATTGTTTGCCTCAGTTACAAGCCCGTCTTTGCATAACCCATCAATGACTGTATTGTACATTATTAAATTGGGCCTAATCGGTTGCCTCTCCAGCTTTAGCAGCAACTCAATGGCAGCTCTTACTTCTCCCATTTTACATAACCCGTTGATCAATGTCCCGTAACTAACCTCATCAAGTAGAAATCCTAATGCTCTTACCCTGTCATGAAATTCCAGAGCTTCCCTAATCTTTCCATTTAGACAGAGTCCTTTTATTAGGGTATTCAAAGTTATGGTATTCATTTCGCAACCCATCTTGATAATCTTACCCAATAAAGAAAAAGCAAAATCCATTTGACCAGAGTGGCAGTAACAATTGATCAAGATGTTCAAAGTAATAATGGAAGGAGTGATTCCCTTAGACTCCGTAAGAGTAAAGAGTGAAAGAGCAGTAGGGTATGCTTTCATCTTAACAATAGATCCCAAAATCTTGTTAAATTGAATTACAGACGGAGGATGACGCTTAGCGAGAGCGGACATGAAAGAGGAGACAGCATCGTCAATGTTACGAAACCAACAAGAAGTGGATTGACAATATAACCTCATAGACAAAGAGAAGCAGTAGAATTTGGAAAGAGCATACCTCGTTGTTGATGTTGTTGTTGGATTCAACATTGTGTTAATGTTAATGTTAATGTTATCTTCACAATCCTTTCTGCTTTCACCGCTATATTCCCAGCTGCGTAGGTCACTCGCTGTGTAGAAAGGGATGGATGTTTTGTGTAAGGCGAAAGGAATGATAATGTATAAGCTGGACTGGATGAGTCACTCGCATTCCAAAATTAGAATTTTCTATCTTAAAAAAATAAAAATAAAAATAATATCTTATGTATTCAATTTTTCAAAAGTTCTAATGAAAAGTTCGGTAGATTTTTTTTTTTTTTTATTAAGTTGAGTACATTTTTTTTTTTTTGGTAACATAAGTTGAGTAGATTTTTAGTACAAAAAAGTTTTGCTATTACATGTTTTAGAAAATGACTTAAAAAATAGAGGTAGGATTTTTTGACACCAGTGTCAAATTTTAAATTTGATATCTCATATGACAGCCGTTAGATAAAAAAAGATCATGGTGTTATATGCTTGCAAATCAGAGTCGTTGATCTTTTTTGATCTAACGACTCTCAGATGAGGTGTCAAATTTAAAATTTGACACTGGTGTCAAAGGATCCTACCTCTAAAAAATATGTTAATTGTTCGACTTTTTGGTTTCACTATTGTAGTTTTTACAATAATTTTTCTAATATTATAAAGGAAAAAAATAATCCTATGATTTTGTTTTGAAACACTTATCCCTTATGCTTTTTTTAATAACTTACTCTTATGATTTTCTTTTCATTCAAATATATCTTTAATTTCGTTAGAAACTTAATTAATCAGTGTATTTTACTTATTTTAGAAGAAGAAAATAAACTATAACAAAATTGAAGAAAATTAAAAAAAATTAGATGAAATACTTTGAAAACATATAATACTTACAGAAAAAATTAAAAGTAGAAAAATAGAAATAGAAAAAATTAAACATGCCTAAATTAAAAAAAATAACTCAAAAAAATAAAAAAGAGGGCTAAATATGTTGAAAATTTACAACAATGACACAAAAGATAAAAATTAAAAAAAAAAAAATG